GTTAAGAACATTACTAATTGAAAGTTATGCAGACGTAAGGACAAAGCATATTTAATCAGCAGAGTTTGATTTCCAAAGTTCATTCAGCCACAGCTATTCTGTAAGAGTTAGATTAAAGTAAAACTACATGAGAGACTCATTTGTATATATCACAGATGAGAATTTCTGCAGTCTCCTTAAACCTCCAGCTTCATGTCCTCTGAATGCCAGGATGAAAGTAAGCCTCTGCCAATCTCAAATCTCACCCTCCATTTCTTTTTCTATCCCCACGGTCTCTCTCCACCAACTCCTCTGCCTTTTTGTCTGGGAGACAGTATAGCAAAATGGGGGAAAATCATGGGTTTGGGGTAAAAAAGACGGGATCTGCCACTTATTAGCAGAATGGCATATTAATAAATTATTTAGGCATAAAATAGATTTGTTTAAAGGCTTCTGTAAAATGAGGACTACCATCCAACTCAGGGTGCTTGTAATGACCAGTTGATGAAATCTACGTACGGTACCATGCAGAGTGTCCAGCTCAATAAATACACATTTCTTATTCTTCCACTCCCCACTTTTCACATTCTTTCAAAGGAAGGGGAGCCCATCACCAAGGCTGTTGTGCCTCTTGTGCTGACTTATTGCCGCCGGCTCTCCCACATCTGTTCCCTCACAGGTTTGCCCTGTCTTTAGTATGAGCAATATCCCCCTCTCCCCAGGCTTCTTCTTTTCTGCCTTTGATGGGCTCCATACATCAGATTCTGGGGGAATAATTTCTACTTATCGTTTTTTACATTCTAATGATCTTTTCTTCAAAGCCAATACACTAAAACGAGTGGTGTGTTTTCACCACCAGTTTTCTTACCACCTGTCATCTCTTTTTATCTTAGCAGCTTGCAGATTCTTTCAAGTCCCTCCAGAGGGAAATTCCCAGGGTCTGAAATGCTGTCCTTCTGGCTTGGTGGGATTATTCGTAGCCGAGGCATCCTCCACGCTCATCAGGCTATAGGAGTGCTTTCACCGTGTAGGGAGTGAAGATGTTGACACTATTGCACTGAAAAGGCTGCTCTCCAAAAAAGGGAAGATATAAGAAATTCAGGTCATAGAATGTTTAAATTATGTAATCATGTATTTTCATGAGCACTAAAAAATAATTTTTGGCTGCAAGATATCATCTCCAAATTGCCCAATATAATATCCTGTAGGAAAGGAACTTTAGATATAGATAGATTATTGAATTGTGTTAGTGCTCCTTGAAGAAACATGTTATTATTTTGACCTGTTTTGCATAGACTGAAACCCTTCCAGAAGCCTCATACATTATCCATGTGGTAAATTACAGCACTTTTACCTAATTGCTCCTTTAGGAGCTAATGACCCCCTTTGCTGCTTTGTCTCAGACACCTGATGCAATCAGCATGGAGAGGGTGTGCTCAGTCTCATCTGTTGCCTTGTACATTCATATTTAGTTCAAAATTAAGTGCAATTTCAAGGTGTTTGGTTTAATTTTAATCAATCTAATGTACTGTAAGCATTGCTCAAACTTATACATTTGTTAAAATTTGTGAAGGTCACTTTGGTGAATGAATTTTGGCCTTTAAATAGATTCAGCTTGCTGTATATGCAGAATAGCCTGCACAGAATCAACAATGGAAATTCACTGAATATGCCCTTTGCTCTCATAATACTGAAAATCACAGCATAACCTGAAGGACCTCGTTGAGTTAAGAAATCAGTGCATGATTTATAAAGGTACCATATAGGAACCTGGTACCATGGGCTGGTATGTCTCTCTATTATTATTTGTAGAGGGAGATGTGTGGATTGAATTTTTAAAATTTCTGAATGCATAACTGATTTCTTAGCCAATAAAAATATGTAAGACTGGGCTCAGTGGCTCACTCCTGTAATCCCAGCACTCTGAGAGGCTGAGGCAGGTGGATCACGAGGTCAGGAATTCGAGACCATCCTGGCTAACAGGGTGAAACCCCATCTCTACTAAAAATACAAAAAATTAGCCAGGCGTGGCAGCGGGCGCCTGTAGTCCCAGCTACTCGGGAGGCTGAGGCAGGAGAATGGCGTGAACCCGGGAGGCGGAGCTTGCAGTGAGCCGAGATCGCGCCACTGCACTCCAACCTGGGTGACAGAGCGAGACTCAGTCTCTAAAATAAAATAAAATATAAAAATACAAAAATTAGCCAGACGTGGTGGCATGTGCCTGTAATCCTAGCTACTTGGGAGGCTGAGGCAGGAGAATCACTTGATCCCAGGAGGAGGAGGTTGTGGTGAGCCAAGATTGCACCACTGCACTCCAGCCTGGGCAACAGAGCAAGACCCCATCTTGGGGGGGAAAAAATTTAAAAAATAAAAATAAATTAATTAATTAAAATAAAAATGTATAAGCTCCATATGACTTAAAAATAATTTTCTATAAAAAGATGAATAATGCAGTTTAAAACTGCTCTCTATTCTTAAAATTTGAGAATGAAGAGTTGGAAAGCACCTACAAAATAATATATTCCAATTCCCTTATTAGACAGGGGTGCAAAGAAAGGCCCAAGGCTCTTAGCAAGTGATGTGCTAAGGTCTGTTTTCCTCTGCACATTGATGACTAAACTAGGACAAAAACTGAATTTATGAAAGACTTAACTTTATGGAGGAGAGGCACTGACACACTTATCACAGAATTTTTAAAGAGTTAAAGAATTACTTTGCCCACTTCATAGCAATATAACAAAGAAGAAAACAAATATAACATGGAAAAGCATTGTTCTAATTAGCTGATTTTCTGTATATATAAATCCATGTCACATTCCTTTCTAACTGCATTATGTATTTTTTGTCATATTTCTTTTAAATGAAAATGAGTAAATCAAAAATTCTGTTCATTTAGAGTTTCACAAATTAAGGATTGAATTAGTTCCATTGATAGAAAAGAAATTTGCGAAGCAAGTGTGATGTTTAAAATTTATAATGGGGCTGGGCGTGGTGACTCACGCCTGTAATCCCAGCACTTTTGGGGGCTGAAGCGGGTGGATCACGAGGTCAGGAGATCGAGGCCATCCTGATCAACATGGAGAAACCCTGTCTCTACTAAAATACAAAACATTAGCGGAGGATGGTGGTGTGCGCCTGTAGTCCAAGCTACTCAGGAGACTGAGGCAGGGGAATCGCTTGAACCCGGGAGGCAGAGGTTGCAGTGAGCCAAGATCATGCCACTGCACTCCAGCCTGGGCAACAGAGCGAGATTCCAGCTCAAAAACACAAAACAAGCAAACAAAAAAAACCAAAAACAAAACAGAGAAAGAAAGAAAAAAAGAAAAAGAAATTCATAATGGGAAAGTTTACCTACTTAATCTAATCATTTGCAAGCGTTCTCTGTTTATATCTAAATCTAGCCACAGCCACAGAAGTGGAGATCCAGCAGTGCTAAGGTGGCTTGTCGGTTTGCTAATTATGAACTACACTTATCTATTCATTATAAGAGATTTTCTACTATGCTCGTTAAACCTAGTTTTGGTGGATGCGTATAACCGAAAATAATGAAAGTAGTGGAATTGAATATAGACTATTCTTGATTCTGACTTTACACTCACACCAATCTGTATCACAGACATGTGATACGACAAGTAGTTGGACTGAGATTCAAGATTATCAAGAAGATTATTGGAATCTGGCTTTATACCAACTCTCATTAATGAGCCCTAAATATATATACTGTGCTTTGAAATATTAGCTGACAGTAGCACATACTAATTATTTTTTAATGCAAATACCTTTTTGCATTTGTATTGGGAGTGATTGTTTTAAAATGCTTCCTATAATGGTGTATGACTATACAAAGTTTGGGGACCTTTGGAGACCTGCCGAGACAATGAGCATATGCTATTCATTACTCTCTTCCTAAAGCTTATCTCCTTAAGCTTCCTTGCAGAATAGTTTGTGTAATTACAAAACCATTACAAAGGAGAATTAACAAAACATTTGGAAAGGTGGATCCAATTTTATAGATTCAGAAACATAATTTGTTAACAGGCTCGATATTCTCTTAGTATCTCCACCAGCACTGTCCAATGGAACAGTGTGCAATGACAGAAATGTTCTGTGTCTGTGCTATCTGGTATAGTAGCCACTAGCTACGTGTGTTGGGCACTTGGAATGTGACTAGTGTGGCTGAGAAAGTAAAGTTTTAGTTGAATTTAATTAATTAAAAATCAATGGCTGGGTGCAGTGGCTCACGCTTGTAATCCCAGCACTTTGGGAGGCCGAGGCGGGCGGATTACGAGGTCAGGGGTTCAAGACCAGCCTGGCCAACACAGTGAAACCCCGTCTCTACTAAAAATAGAAAAATTAGCTGGGCATGGTGGCGGGCACCTGTAATCCCAGCTACTTGGGAGGCTGAGGCAAGAGAATCGCTTGAACCTGGGAGACGGAGGTTGCAGTGAGCTGAGATCACACCACTGCACTTCAGCCTGGGCGACAGAGCTAGACTCTTATTACAATAAATAAATAAATAAATAAATAAATAAATAAAGTAAATAGCCACATGTAGCTAATGCCTACAGTATTTGGCACTTCAGTTCTTGAGAGAGATTACAGAGTCCCTTCTAAGATCCCCTAGCACTGAGCACTGTGCCTGAAACATATTAGCCAGATGAAATGAGAAATCAGGAAAAGCAGCATACACACTGGAAGACAAAAACCCCCAGGCACACACACATATCGTTGAAATGACACTGAACTCATTAACCCAATATGGAATGTAAAAGGAATTCATTTAGGAAAACATCATCGAAAGTTCTTTGCTGCTGGTTAATTCATACAGGGTAAAACTAAAAAGAAAAAAAACTTTCTGTGTGGTTAAAACTGGGTTACCAAGCAGATAAGATCCTATGAAACTCATAAAAGCCTGTTAGATCCCTGCCAAGGCTTGAGATCTGTAAGACCATGGAGTGACTTCCTTTTAAGGTGACAGCCCCTCTGGGTGAGGTAGAAGCCATTCCCACCTCCTGCTGTGTGTCCCAAGCCTCCTCCCTGAGTCAGTGGCAGGCACTTCAGGGCAGCGTCCTGTCCTGTCACTAGTGTGTAGCTAAGGAAACCTGGCTGAATGCGCTGTTACTATAGCTCCGTGTGCCAGATCTCCGGGGCTGAGCATAACAGAAGAAGCTTAAGGACACTACGTGCAACAGCCAGCGAGAGCGGGAGACATCGGTGTTTCCAGAGACCAGACCCACCATAGTAAGTGAGAAATGAATGCTGGATTTTTCCCATCAGGCAATTCACTGGTTTCCCTCATTTCCTTTCTATACTAACACCTGACACTTCAGAAAGTGGTCATATTTGTCATCACTGAGACGTCAACTAGAGACAGATTGCCCAGTTTCAAGGTTTCAAATGAAATAAACTTACTTTAAAATAATAGCAAATGCTTTTTTATATGTAATACTGAGAACTCAGAAGATGATGAATTAATAATTGGTGTATTCATGTATTTATTCAACTGGTAAATGTTAGAAACCATGCAATATGCTAGAGATAAAAGAATGAATAAGTGAACACAGATTTATACATTTTATTTTTTAAACTTGTATTTTAACTACTTCAAAAAATGATTTGTGCTAGATTGTAGAAATTTTTTCATTTCTTATTTTTGTTATTATTTTTTATACAGGATCAGATATAAGAACAATATTTTTTCATAAACATGAAATTTCTAAAGTAATAAAAATGGCATGAATCGAGATGCTGTTTTTGAGTGAAACATTGTACAGACTATTGTGAAGTGAAAAAGATTGTTTAAATGGTACGTGTAGCATGATCCCATGACTATAGAAGTGAACATGTATGTATAGAATAGACAGGAATGACATATTAGTGTGTAAAAAGAGGTATCCCACAGAAGTAACATTTTCAGTGATTTTTATTGTTTCTTGTGGCTTGCCTATGTTTTCCAAATTTCCTCCAATAAATATGCATTACGTTTATGATGAAAAACTTTACATTTTTAAAAAACTACATTCTCTATCTTGACTAAATAATCCTTTGGTAATAATAATAGTAACATAGTAATATAGCAGGGAAGGAAGAAAAGAAGGAAGGAAGTAAAGGAAGAGAAAGAGAAAACATACTCAGATAATTTGTCCTGAAGTCTCCACTGTTACCAATTTTGAAAGTTATTTGACAGTTCCTATGAAATTGGCTGTTTTTACCAATCTGTGTTAGTCAAGAAGAACCATTTTGGTCAACTAGAGACAGATTACCAGTTTCAAGATTTCAAATGAAATAAATTTAATTTAAAATAATAGCAAACGTGCCGGGCGCGGTGGCTCACGCCTGTAATCCCAGCACTTTGGGAGGCCGAGGCGGGCAGATCACAAGGTCAGGAGATCGAGACCACGGTGAAACCCCGCCTCTACTAAAAATACAAAAAATTAGCCGGGCACAGTGGCGGGCGCCTGTAGTCCCAGCTACTCGGAGGCTGAGGCAGGAGAATGGCGCGAACCCGGGAGGCGGAGCTTGCAGTGAGCCAAGATCCCGCCACTGCACTCCAGCCTGGGCGACAGAGTGAGACTCCGTCTTAAAATAATAATAATAATAATAGCAAATGCTTTTTTATATATAATACTGAGAACTCAGAAGATGATGAATTCATAACTGGTGTATTTATGTGTTTATTTGACTGGTAAATGTTAGAAAGCATGTGACATGCTAGAGATAAAAGAACGAATAAATGAACACAGATTTAACTACACATTTTATTTTTTAATTACTTCCAAAAATCATTTGTGCTAGATTGTAGAAATTTTATTTTTTTCATTTTTAATTTTTATTATTTTTTAATACAGGATCTGGCTCTGTCACCCAGGCTGCAGAGCCGTGGCTTGTTCTCGGCTCACTGCAACCTTTGCCTCCCAGGCTCAAGCCATCCTCCCACCTCAGCCTTCAGAGCAGCTGGGACGGACTACAGACACAGGCCCCTTGCCCAGCCAATTTTTTTGTATTTTTGGTAGAGATGGGTTTTGCCATGTTAGCCAGGCTGATCTTGAACTCCTGGGCTCAAAGCAATCCACCTGCCTTGGTGGGATTACAGGTATGAGCCACTGCACCCAGCCAGATTGTAGAAATTGTATAAGAAAAATATTTATTATTGCAGACAACACAACATCATTAAATAGTCAAATGATCTATTACATATAAAAGCATCAAAAACCTATTCGATCATTTTAGAAAATGACATTTTAAGGATTTGAGAAGTCACTAGAAGAAAATCCAAATTATTATCATCCCAGAATACTAGGAAAGACATTTTAAAAGTGTGGCACTTTAATTTGGCTTTTTATTAGTTGATGGGTCTTAAACAAGGTATATCAACAATCTCTCAAATTTAATAGATCCATGTCATAGAGAAGTTTTCATATTATTTGAATTTCAAAGTTGAAAGACTAAAATGCAAATACTCTGAAAGCAAAATTGCTGGCAAAAAGCTGGTTTGCATTTACATTTTCTAAGCTCCAATAGATCCTTACCTACCTTTTAAAGATTTTCTAAGGTCACCAGGACATTATATTTTTAAACATTGGCAGCTCACTACCGTTGGAATTTCGTTTTGCCCACCTGTTTGATAGGTGGTGACCTCTCTCTGAACTATGGTTGATGCTTCCTTTCTGCATACTTCCAGGCTACCTTTTACTCCAGCAATCATCAAAGCCAGGGAGAACTGAAGAACCGGGGACTTTGGGTTAACACACATGAGTGGCAGACATCACCCCTCTTGACCCAGCTGCCCCTCTAAGGGGCTTTGAGAAAAGCGTAAGATAAAATAAATGATTCTGGGGCTAGGTTGGATACTGGCAGTCCCTCAACAGAAAGCAGAAGACCATTGGAAAGAGAGATCAGATGCTGGAAACCAAGATGAATCTGGGAAGACAGAACAATCAAATGACAAACTGGGAGCAGGTGAGGGGCCAGAGTGACGGGAGAGGGCCAGGAGAGATGAGAGGAAGGTAAAGACTAGGATGGTTTCAGAACCCATTTAGGGACACTGAGCTCTACTTTCCATATGCTGTCTTTGAACAACAGGCCTGTTCTTGGTGGGCAAGGGGCAGGTCTTCCACCCCATACTATCCTGAACAATGCCATCTCTCATAACTTGGGGTTTACTATTTATCTTTTAAAAAATTAAACCAGGTGTTGTGATTTTATTTTTGACTTCTACACTGTCAATAGCCAACAAACAGGACTTCAATCCTATCATCAGAATTATTAGATACAATGTAATAACCAACCCAGGATTTGTCCTCATCCATGAGGGCCCTACAAGGAGAATCCTTTCATTGTCCTTCTGAGTGTCATTCCTTCAACACTTGCAAGCTTCCCAAAGTGACTTCAAAACTGCCATGCAGCAGTAGGGACATGACTCCTTATTTTCACAGTGATTAATATTTACTGAGAACCTGCTATTTACAGGCACTTTATATACATTATCCTTCTTCATGTGTGTAACAACTCTGTGAGGGAGGTAGCCGTATCCCAGTTTAAAAGGATAATCCGAAATGCAGACAGGTTCAGAAAGTCTGAAACACATACAGCTGCTACATGTCGCGGCTAGGTTTGAAGCAGGCCCTAGCTCTCTTCCTTATGCTGTGATGTTTCTGTATTGCTCAGATCTAATGTTCTGTGGCCCATTTTGCCCTGGCATCACTGAATTAGCACATTATCAATTCCCTAATCACATGGCTGCTTCTTAGCCACACATAATTCTACTCTATGTTAGCAAGCTGGGCTCAGCAGTTACTTTGATCTTTTTTTAAAGTCTGCAGTGAACATCCAGTAATAATGTATGAGCAACCTAACCTTTCAAAGTGGAAATATGTCTAATGGTCACAACCACCTCTCCTTTCAACTCCCTTACCCTCACGTCTCCATTGCAATTATTCCTTAATCATTGAAACCTCTAGTCCATCGATGCTGTCACTCTTTCACAATTTTCACTACTCTCCAAACCTTGCTTCTCTTTTTGTCCAGCTTACAATTCATGACCCATTTCTAAAATCATTTAATTGAAAACATGCTCAATTTTCTGGCCCCACTCTCCCTGTACTTACCTGGCTAGACTCCAACTCTTCATGAGCCTAACTAGCCATTTTCTCTATGCCTAGAGATTAATCACATCTGTTGTCCTGGCTATACTTTAAATTTGTAATCTCAGACCTCAAATAGGCCCTTAGTACTGTGGAAGGGTCCTACTAGTTTTCCCTAATAAAGTTCCCTTTTGAGTCTTTGAAATGACTATTTCACATTTCCTCTCTCCCAAAACCTCTCACATTCTCTCACTCCCTATTCATAGCTGATGACTTAGACTTATACTTCATTGAAAAAAAAAATCCAAGATCAGACAAGAGTGCCTTCATCTAGTCAAATCTATGTACCTCAATCTCTGTGCTGTATTGTCTCTGCGCCCATATTGTCTTTGCCTTCCCTGTTTTTGAAATAGGAGAAATGTGTCTGCTTCTATCAGAAGTGAATCCTTCCAGTCCTACTCTGACCCTACCCACCCTCAGCTTTCCAAGGATTCTTGTTCTTACAGTTAAACTCCTTCTATTCTGCAACATCTATGGCTTTCTCCACATGATGTCATTTCCAGACAACATATATGGAAGTTCTGTGAACTCCCAAATTACAAAAACCAAAAAAACCTTAAAATACTTCCTTGGTTTTCATCATTCTCTTTTTTGGTTACTCTATCAAGATTCTGTTTCTGGTTTTTTTTTTTTTTTCCTTTGTTTTGGTGGTTGTTGTTTGTGTGTGTGTGGTTTTTTGTTGTTGTTGTTTTTTGTTTGTTTGTATGTTTATTTGTTTTTGCAACAGGTCTTATTATGCTACCCAGGCTGGAATGCAGTGGCAACCCGCTGCAGCCTTAACCTTCTAGGCTTAAGCAGTCTTCCCACCTCAGCCTCCTGACTAGTTGAGACTACAACATGTGTCACCATGCTTGGCTAATTTTTTGTTTTGTTTTGTTTTGTTTTGTACAGAAAGGGATATGACTGTGTTGCCCATTCTGCTCTTGAACTCCTGGGCTCAAGTGATTCTCCTGCCTTGGCCTCCCAAAGTGCTGGGATTACAGGCATGAGCCGTTACACCTGGCTTCAAGCTTCTACCTAACCATTCACTGAATCTGCGGTGGCAGGGCCACCACAATCTTCTTATTGCTAGATCCTATGTGCACTCCTCCTGTTTTC